CTCTCTCTCTCTCTCTCTCTCTCTCTCTCTCTCTCTCTCTCTCTCTCTGTCTCTGTCTCTGTCTCTTTCTCTCTCTGTCTCTCTCTCTCTCTTGATTTTATATATATATATATCAAGCTATAGATGCATCATAGTTGGGGTTGTTCAAAATAGTTTTCCTAAAAGTGTGATTAATCATAAAAATTTTTAAATGAATTAAAGGTATTAAAATATAATATTTGATTAATACTAAAAATGAGAAAAATACAAAATTACTAATTTTTAACCAAGAATAAGCACTTGCTTATCAACCTAAAGACAAGATAGCATTTATGTGGAAAAGAAACCAAGTCTGTATAGGGAGAAACACAACACCACACGGCTGGAAACTAAAGGAGCTGGTCCTCACCACCACACCCCGGAGTCTGGGTAACAACAGGCAAGAAACACTTGATTCACAAGGGCAACACAGAACAAAAAGAGCACCCGGAAGTGAGGTGAACAGGTGACTCACACGCCAACTATGCCTGGACTGAGAGCTGAGACAGCTGACAAGACCAGGAGTCGCAGACTCACTGAAATGTTCAAATATAAGACCAGGAGGTAAATGGAAGCAAGGGTGGTAACAGGCCCTAAACAGTCCAGAAGTGACTATAGTTTCATATCATCTGTCGTGACCCATGATGTATTTCTCCACAGACGGCTTTGTTCACCGTAACGCAAGCATATACTACTCATTTGCATAGCAAATTTTAACAGGTGCACTGAGACAGTAACTAATCGATCTGGTGAAAGTCATTTTTACAATCAGAATGGCAAATTGACCAAATCAAATGTTTGCCATTTGAAACCAGTTACTTCCAAGACTTTTAAAAGATTTGTAATCTGAGTTAGTGGCAAAGCAGTAAAGCCATTACTGATGCAGTCTCTGGCAGATGCACATGCAGTCACTGTCTGATAACTTCTAGGACTTTGTAAACACTGTTCTGGAACACCGTGGTAAAGTGAGGCTTGGAATCCTTCACCAAGATGTTGCACAGGGGTGTTTTCCCAGCGTTGTCCGGATCCTCCACATCCCAGATTTCAGGCATGCTGCACCCAGGCCTAGAGAAGTGAACACACATGTTAAAGTCAATACACGATATCCAACTGCACACAGCACAGCAGTGTCTACACTTCTTGTTTCATCACACCTTTCCTACCTCCATTAACTGACATAGTTCTTAAACCACACACTAGTTACCTTTACTGCCATAGCTTTTCTTTAGGACGATGAGACCAGAGCATCAGGGAGTACAAGGAGAGAGGCACAGAATGCATGTGCTCAGGGGCTGGATAGGACAGCTCAGAGACGCTGGCACACTCTGCCTCTGCTTCTCATCAAGAGTGTGCTGTTAGAGGTTTCCACTTGTTTAAGGGGGAAGAAGCCCATAGCACCGGCTTCCCCTCAGAATGTGCGGACTGAGGGCAATCAGATATTTACAGCACCAGGCTCAGACCACCAACGTGTTAGTATTAACGATTATGAAATTTGCTTAGTTCACAGGAAAGGTGTACTCATTATTCTCTAACATGAGTCAGTTTAAAAGAAAGTCTGATTGTGATTGTATGGGAGGGGCAGGGCAAGGAAACTACCAATATGGCTGCTACATTGTATGGTTGTGGTTTTTATTGTAGGTAAGAGGGAAAAATATCTTGAGTCCAGAGCAGAGAGAGAAAGAAGCAGACTGGGCATGGCCAAAAGAGAGAAAATATCTAGAAACATCTGGAGGAGTCCAGAGCAGAGAGAGGGAAGCAGACTGGACATGGCCAGCGCTGTGTGCCAGAGAAGCTACAATAGCAGGAGACAGGAGAGTGACTGAGCTGGGACTGAGGTGAGGAGGACCTGTGTTGGCGACTTATGAACGTACAACAAATACTTGTGAGAAGGTGTGGAGAGAGACCAAGGTCCAGCATGGGCTTTGATATACACTCACACGTGCATGCCAATGGAGCCATATGTCCCCTCTGACAGGGGTAAAGAAAATGACTCCTTAGGACACTTGTGGCTGATGGGAACTAGTTTCACAAGTTCCAGAGGAATGCTGGATTTTATCTAACCATAAGAAATCATCCTATAATCCAGTTTGAGCATTTCAAGATATATGAACTACCTGACACCTGACAAAGGTAAGCTTACTTCTTAGCTAAATGAAATTAAACTGTAAATACAATGTATTCTTATCACGGTCTCACTATATGGCCTAGATTAGCCTGAAAAATACAGTCTTCCTGCCTCAGAGTTTCAGGGTTTTGGATTCTCAATGTGTGCCACCATGTCCAGCCATTAATATATTTTTATAAAGAAAAATATAAGTGGCTCTGTATGGTGGCACACATCTTTAATCCCTGCACTATGGAGGTAGAGAGAGAGGAAAAAGGTCTGGGACAGCGTGCCTGAATAGCATAGATGAGGCCTTCACAGTCAATTCTCACTCAGCATAAGTGAAAGGAAAAGAACAGGGAAAGTTAAAATTAGAGAATGGACCATGGTTCTGTTGTCCTAATACCTCTACCCCCCTCCCTCCCCCTCTCTCTCTCCATGAGAAAACACTTATGAGACGTTCAAGTCCATTTAAACTAATCCTTTGTGACCACTCAGCCCGGTACTCATCACTCAGCAGGTCCATGTCTAGTCTTGAACGCCATTATTCAGAAGCACTGCTAACACACATCAGCATCCATCTATCCTGCTAGAGCTTTGACCCATGCTCCCTCTCACACATAATACAAACAGGGACAGTTCTGGGTTGCTTTCACAAAACTGGGGACATTATGGGACTTGTAACAGTACAATTGAGTTATTTTTTGCATCTTGGTACGTGAAGACCCATTTGCTCCTCTTCAAAGCTGTTAGTTCTGGTCTATGATTACTCAAGGACTCACTCGTGGATGTACACTTTGGTCATTTCCCACTTTGCTGCCATAATGTAACACCACTACGTTTTGGTGTCTGTCTCCCTTTTGTAACTTAAATATTCATTGTGTCCAAGACACAAATTTTCATTTTGCCTCCATCAGATTACGGATTAACGGTCCAGGAGCCTCCCAGTGATGTCCCCAAAGGGTTCCAGTGCACTTTCTGAACAGCCTCATTAACACCGGATGCACAGAGCTGAAGAACTAGAATCATAAGGCTGGGCTTCTGGTTTCCACCCTTAAAGTTCTCACGCACACCAAGGCTGAACTGTTATCACACTTAGGGTCATAGAAATCATGACAGCTAAAAATTCAATACCTACTCTGGGTTTTCCAGAGCTCAACATGCTAAGCAAAATGAAGGGGCAAAGAGCTGCCTTGGGATCCCTGCTTGCCCCTGTTACTGGAGTTCTGTAAATCTCCCCTGGCACCAAACCCCAACTTTCAATAGCATTTTTAACACTGAAGACAGTGGTGTATGTCCATAATCCTGGATCCACAGAAGGCTGAATCAGAAGCATCAGGTAAGGCCAGCTCTGGGTCAGGCTAGACAGCAGAGCAACACACAACATACATATCAAAAGAGAAACGGGGTGGGGGAGCACCAGTGCTAATGTGAATGACTCCCCCTCAATTTAAGTATTTTAACTATAGTCAAACTAACTGAGATTAAGAAAAGCTTTCTTTGAAATATAAAGAGAAAAAGAGAGAGAAAGAGAAAGAAAAGAAGGAAGAAAAGAGAAAAGAAAAATGAGAGAAAATGAAAAAGGTTATAAAAACTCATCTACCTAAGAAATGATCCAGCCATGCCATGACACCCTCAGGAGATCATGCATGCAGGCAGCCATGCCATGATGCCCTCAGGATATCATGCATGCAGGCATGCATGAGCCTGTGCAGGCACACATGCGCACACACAAACTCGCTCAGCATAGACTGTCCTTCCTTTCTCTCCTGAGCTCAGTCTGCTGCTCCTGTTCTGACATACTTTTATTTTCCAGTATCTGCAGCAAGCTGCAGGTCCTCTGGCCAACCTAACTGATGCAGACTGAAGGCAGAAATAATAAGAGAAAAGAAAACCCAATACTGGATGAACACCTCTCAAGAAACTCAGTTTTCTGGTACATGTAAAAATAGGATAAAAACCTGTCCCCCTTCTCCCTGTCCATTCTCTTTTGGCTTCTGTTATGGCTGTCTTTGGGTCTTGAGTCAAACTGACACAAACTACAGTCATCAGAGAGAAAGGGGCCTCAGCTGAGGAAAACGTCTCCATGAGATGTAGCTGGAAGGCATTTTCTCAATTAGTGATCAACAGGGGAGGTGGTGGTACCATCCATCCCTGACCTAGTGGTCCTGTGTTCTATAAAAAAGAAGACTGGGAAAGCCAGGGGAAGCAAGCCAGTAAGCAGCACTGCTCCATGGCTTCTGTATCAGCTCCTGCCTCCAAGTTCCTGCCCTGCTTGAGTTCCTGTCCTGTCTTACTTCAGTAATGAACAGCAATATGGAAGTTTAAGTGGAATACACCCTTTCTTCTTGTTTTTTAGTCACAGTGTTTTTGTCATAGCAAGAGAAACCCTGACTAAGACAGCATCCCTTTGGGAAGACAAAGGAAGCACAGCTTTGGACCTGCCCAAAGTTTCCTGAGGGTATCCCTTCAGTCCGCTTGGACTCTCACTAGAACAGGAATGGGAAGCAGGCAAAACAAAGACACCTCTTGGCTTCCCCCCTCCCACTCCTGATGAAACCAGCATCCAGGGCTGTTGAGTCCATGTCCAGATGGCAGAAGTACAATCTGCTCCCTCTTTGGGGCAGCCTGAGTACCTGAGTGATCTGAAGCCAGTAAAACAGAGCTGCTCTTGCTTGGAGGGAACATTTACTGCTTTGTATCAGTAGTTCTGAACCTTCCTAATGTTGCAGTCCTTTAAATACAATTCTTCATGTTGTAGTAACTCTCAATCACAAAAAATAGTTTCATTGCTACTTCAAAACTGTAATTTTGGTACTGTTATGAATGGTAATGTAAATATCTGTGTTTCCCAATGGTGTTAGGTGACTCCTGTGAAAGGGTCATTCGACTCCCAAAAGGGGTTGCAACCCACAGGCTGAGAGCCACTGCCCTATATCTTCTGTGTTCTCTATGCCCCAAACCATGCACATAAAACCAGTTCTCTGCGTACCAAGGATGGCACCACCAGAGCTGTGCAAACCCAAACTGCTCCATCAAGACTGCAGAACACAAAGCTTTCGCAATTTGGTCATATTAAAAAATGTCACTCAAAGGACTAGAAAACAAAGATGAATCTTGGGTCAATTTTCATCAATTGGAGGAAAGGTTATACAAATGATTTTTCTGTTCTAGTGGCCTCATGTTTCTTAAAAGGAGGAAGCCCAAAGAGATAAAGACTCCGACTTCACAGAAGGCTGTCGAGATGCTGAGCTGTTGCAAACGCTCACCCAGCACTGCCTTCTTACGTGTTCTCATATACTTAGACACTTGGATTCTGTACAATGTACAGAACAGAGATAATAGTTGAGTATGTGAATATTATTATATCTACATCACTACAAGCATTTAAAATTGTTCTTTTATGTGAGGGAATGTTTTTCATGAGAATGTGTATGTACATTACACAAGTGCCTAATGTCTGTGGAGGCCAGGAGTGTGCATTAGATCCTCTAGAACTGCAGTTACAGATAGTTGTGGGTCAGCTCAAGGGTGCTGGGAAATGAACCTAAGTTCTCTGTACGAGGAGCCAGTGCAATTAATGCTAAGCCATCTCCTTGACATTGGTTGTAAGCATTTAAGACATGTTCTATCCAATAACAGCAATAACAGTTTCTATAAATGAAGTTACCTGGAACCTACTCATAGGAAGGGCTTTCCATAACCAGTAACTATCTTAGGTCTTGTAGACAAAGCTATGGAGATGCTATGTCATAGAACTGTTTTCATTCATGAAGTTTATGTAAACAGTTTCCCTTAATGCCCTGTATAATCACTGAAGAAAACAGCACTGATAGATAAAGCAGTCCCCTGAAGGCTTCAGTAAGAGTTCTGACGTAAAACATACAATGCCCTCAAACCTTGGTGAAATCATCAAGCCCTAAGCTCCCCACTTAGGGGATGCTTTGGTCCTGGCACTGCAGGATACTGTTGTCCATTGTCTCATTGTATTCAGCATTGCTGGGCTATGTTTTGGTTTGTTTTTGGGCCAGAGTCTTGCTATGCAATCCAGGCTATTCTCAAAGTCCACATGTAACTCAAATTTGTAATCTTCCCCTCAGCATGCTGAGTGCTGGGATACCAGGTGTGTGTCCAGCCCCGGTAAAGCCTTGTTATATTCCATTTTGAAATCATTCTGTCATTGTAGCTAGGAAACAAACTTCTCAAACTATAAACTTAGGAGGATGTAGGTAAAGCAAGAAAGAAGAGTTTCACTTCAAGTGATATTACCAGACAGTAATACCCAGCCCCAGGCCTCGTCAGGTGTGTAGACTCAGTGTGGACAGTGGAGCCCCTTAGTTGCTGTTGGACCTACTGTAGCACAGCCAGACTCTCATTACTTGGTTTCAGAGTCCTAAGTTTTTTGAAAGGCAATACACTCAGTTCTAACTAAAGTATTTTAAACAAAATCAAATGCAAATAACAATTTGGGAGATAATCAATCCAAATATAGTCACTTTAAGGTAATATGTACACGTATATCACTGTTAAAGCATATTTCTATAATGAGTAAAAAGGTCTAATTCAAATTATGTACAGAGTTCATTCATACTTTTGAAATTGTTTTATTTTACATATAACATATTATATATCATATATCCTATCTATCATACATACAGAACGCTTACCATGGGTCTAAGCTAGCTTCTCACTCTTAAGAGTATAAACTATGAATTGTGTGAAATACTTACTTGGATCTCCTGATGCACCATGACTCTTCCAGAATGTAGTAATTCACTTTTAATTTCATCAGCTCCTTCTTTACATCCTCAGGCGCTTTTCGGCTATACATTGAATATACTATTTTTGTTCTGGCTCTTGAAGAAAAAAATAAGTAGGCACAAACTTTCAAGATTAAAAGGGACACAGTCAATGTTATATAGAAGCAAGCATGGGATGGGACTATGCACACTCCAGAGAAGACAGAAGGTGGAAAGGCCTTGGAGGAGCTGGCAAGGCGCCTGGGGAGATCACAACAAGAAGGCAGACGTAGCCCAGGGTTCTGGGAAAAGGGGCTTGGCTCTAAAGAACACCCACATTTCCAAACTTTATGTTGCCTTTGCTCCTTTGCTTTTGCCTATAATTGTCCAGCAACCCTGTGTGCAGACAGGGATGAGGGCAAACACACCAGCACGGTTGGAATAGGCAACCCGTACAACTCTCCACTGATCTCTAGATTGAAGAAAAACTTACTCTACAAAATTCCTTTGGAAATGTGTACTGAAATTGACTTTTTAATGAAAAAGCTTTTTTTTTTTTTTTTGTCAGAAATAAAGCGTTTAGTACATGAAGGACAAGGCAAGGCGGCCACGGGGTTCCCACCCTAGGTGAGAGAGGCTAGAACCATTAGCCTCCCTACAGGGCTACACTTCCGCCCAGGAGAAGGGCCAGAGCACAGGAAGCAGGACTGGGCTTCACCAGGGCAGGCCAGGCCTAAGGGGCTCCTCTCTCTGCCCTTTCCCAACTTAAATAGGCATAAATAAAGACACATCCAGACTCTCGGGCCACCAGAGGCTGCTGCACCAGTCCCATCCTGCAACCTAACACTAGTGCCGGTTGTGGCCCTCGTAGGGCCAGCCCAGGGAGGCGGCCCTCTGCGGGCCATGGAGGTAGTTGGAGTCAGGGTCCAGAGCAGTCCAGCCCTCACAGCACGTGTACACCCCATTGTCATGCAAAACAATACACTAATAGTATTCATCTGATCAACTGGGAAATGCCTAGCTTTATCTCCTCTGCAAAGTGCATCTATATTAAATTTATCACCTCTTCGAGAGAATAGAATGCATGGTTTATGGGGAAAACAAGTAAGTCTTATATGACCACACAAAATATCTAAGTTCATTATTGCAAACAATATAATAAAAGCAGAGTAGAAATCCCACTGAATGAATCTCTTCCAACTCACTCCTCAGATTTCAAGAAAAAATCCGGCAAGGAGGAGGCTTTACTAAAAGCCTTAAACTAATGAATGTTGGACAACTGTGGGCGATAGCACTACGGAGACCTGGATACCTTGGACAACTGATAGGAATTCTTCTGTTTGCCCAACAGAAAGCCATAACCAAAGATAACAGCATCACTGCACCATGGAGCCTCAACAGCTTGGCTTCTAGCCCAGCCACTCCTTTCCCCATGAATGACTCTGAAATAACCCTGTTGATCCTATCTTCTCAGAAACCCTCTTCTGCTGGGATCCTCACTCACTGTCTTAACTGTGTGAGACTTGTCCTTCCGACCATGCACCTGTGCACTAACCTTAGACCTGCATCTTCATAATGTGGGTGGTTCACAACGGGTCGGAGAGCAGACAGCTTCACACTTGCCATGGTGGGCATGGCACCTGCAAACACTGCATCTGAAAGCAATTACATGGTCTCAGGAACATGCTAGACAAGCATCAGCAGGGGTTGCTGTCAGGACAGCCCAGTTATTTCACAAGTAACAGAGCTGGCTGAAGCCCATGGAGGTTCACAAGTTAAAGGTTCAAGCACAACAGCAGATTGAAGCCAGTGGCTGACAGAAAGATGGTCTACAGCCAAGCTTAGATAACAGGGTGGTCAGCGCTGAGGAGTGAGTATCACCATCCTGTTTTTTCCTTTCCTTTTCTAATATGTTGGAGAGGACTGTCCAGCTGACTAAGAAAGTTTCACAGCACCAACCACTTCCTACTGGGACAGCAAGTTTCCATGGGGACACATGGATTAAAGGGCCACGACTCACGGGTAAGAGGGAATGGGAGGGCTAATACTGAAATACCATCAAGGAAGGAAACAACAAAATCTGCTAAATGTAGAACTTACAAGTTTGGAAAACTTTTATAAATTTAAATTTATATGAAAATAACAAACTAAATCACTAAGGTGCGTACAGCATTCTCCACTTAAACCATGTAGCCAATAGTGGTAACTCCTCTAAAAGACTTCAGGTAGGATTTTGTGGTAAGATGACATTGTGGTGGAAAGAGAATCCTAGCTAGATTGAAACACAGCAGGGCTTCCTTGTTCTTTTACCTGGTTTTGTGCTGTATCTGATCCACTCTATGAGCTCCTCTTGTGGTAAATTGCTGAACTCCCCTACAATGTTCCACTGGGTTTGTAGGTTTGCAAAGCCTTGAATAGACATTGCTGCTAATACAGCAAAGACAACAGCACCAGGATGCACTTTGCCAAAGAGCCATCCAAACAGCTGAAATTCAAGAAAAAACCCCAGGGACTGTCAGTACAAAGCAAGATGGGTAACCAGCAAGATGGCCTTCCTGAGGAAGAACTCAACCTGTGCTGTGGACTGTGCCACACGTGGACTGTTTACAGTAGAATTTCATTATTATTACTGTGGGCTGTGAGGGGTTAGAGGACAACTGTGCGGTCAGTTCTCTTCGACCTCATGTGAACTGCAGGGACTGGACTCAGGTCACCATGCTTAGCATCAGGCGCCTTTAGCCACTGAGCCATCTTGCTGGCCCAATAAATAATATTTCAACAATGATATTCAGTATCAAAACTATTGTAGCCAAGAGACACAGCTTCAAAATCACTGCAAGAAGAGCCAGGTCACCTGCCTGATTTACAAGGACCAGCTTAAAATAAAAACAAGGGCCCATTTATAAAACTTGTTGGTTCAGAATAGGCTAGAGACTCAGCTCACTGACTCAGCACTTGCCTGTGGGCCTGGGTTTGATCTCCAGTACCACAGCAGGAGCAAACTTAACCTCATGCAGAGTCCTTCTGAGTTTTCAACACAGTGCAGACACTGTTAACTGCCCCATTGGTGGGTTGGGAGTTAAGATGGAGGGCTTGCTACCAGCTGTTTCCTGTCCCATCCCAGACTAGAGGAAGAGAATGAGAGAGCTATGTGGGGCATCTCTAACACAGCTTGAACACTGTGACAGCAGCCACACATAACAGTTCACATTCAGAACAGAACCGTCCCACTGTCCTCTTCCTCAGGCATCCCCTGCCTGATTTCTGCAGAACAGACACACAGTTGGATTTTCCACCCCCAGAATTAAGAGCTTGTGCTTAGTAAACGTTTGCTACAGTTGACAGAGGTGATGCTGCACTTTGCTGACTGACTAATGAGTCAGCCACACTACAGAGGAGCAAAAGTTCTGACTGTAACTACATGATGAATAAGAGTAAACTGTCAGGATGACTATAGAGTAAAACCAGAGATGCACGTACCAATGTACACTCAAGGGAAGCTATCTTAAAGCTTGATTCTGATAAAAGAATACAATTTGAAAGCTAACTTCAAATTCAATTTTAGAAATAATGTAGCTGAGTGGTAGAGGCACACGCCTTTAAACCCAACTCTCAAGCGCAGAGGCAAGCATATATATTGGGTTTAAGGCCAGCCTGGTCTACAAAGCAAGTTCCAGGACAGCCAGGGCTACATAGAGGAACTTTTTCTTTCTTCCTTTTTTTTTTTTTTTTTTTTTTTTGGTTTTTCGAGACAGGGTTTCTCTGTGTAGCCCTGGCTGTCCTGGAACTCACTCTGTAGAGCAGGCTGGCCTCGAACTCAGAAATCCGCCTGCCTCTGCCTCCCAAGTGCTGGGATTACAGGCATGCGCCACCACCGCCCAGAGAGGAACTTTTTCTTGAAAAACCAAAAACTACCTCCCTCAATAATAATAATGTCAAAGCAAATATGAGATAGAAAAATAAAAAATTCCTCTAGAGTTTAGTTGTCCTTTCTATCAGCACCTGTACTGACTGCTGATGAACCCAGTCTGCATTGATGCGGTATCTGCTGTTTGCCAGGATAGTTTGCCAGGGTAGAAGAGCAGACAATGATCCGTTTGGACCACTACGCTATAGTAAGGTTGTATACGGAAGCAAAGAGAAGAACTTCAGGGTTAAGGAATTACAGCACATCAGCCAGTACTACTTGGTAGCCAAGACTGGGCTAGAACTCACTGTCATCAAGTTACCTGTCTGGAGCAGATCAAGGATGCCATAACACACATGTGTGGTGTGAGGAAGAGCTTCAGTCTCATGATCAGAACACCAAGGGCTGTGTATGCTAATAGCTGCAGAGCATGGTAAACCAACTGATGGGAGGAAAGACAAGTGTTCATCTCTACCATTTGTGAAGGCAAGGCATCGTTAGTCAGGGCGCGCAGAAATGATTTCTTAAATGGCTCTTCCTATGGAATATTTTTATCAATTTTTAGAGAATTTCCAAGAAGGCATCTTGAACACAATCATTCCCTACATTTTCCCCTAACTCCGGAGTCTCAGAGCCACACCCGAAACTCGTCACAGCCTCTTAACTTTGTGTCCTCCTTAAAAACAATCATAGTTCAGATTCCAATTTGTGCTATGTATACAGACACACATATGTCCCCTCTCTTCTTCTCCTCCCTTCCTCCCTCCCTCCCTCCCTCCCTCCCTCCCTCCCTCCCTTCTTCCCCTCGCTCCCCCACTTTCTTATGGGTTTAGATTATCCACTGGAGCATTTAAGATCTACCAGAGGCCACATCTTTAAAGAAAACTGATACTCCCTCCTGCCAAGGCCATAAGCAATCAATAGGTCCTCTCCTCAGTTTGGGGTAGAGGCTCACAAGCACTGGCCCATCCATGCTAGAGTGGGAACTGGCTTGTGGTCCACAGGTGTTGTGCAGGCAAACCCTGCTAGTTCACTTGTGGCATTCCTGTGTACAGAAGGTGCTGCAGTTGTCCCTGACCCCAGCTTGGTAGCAAAAGGGATCACAGAGATGCCACATGTGTGGCTGATCACCCTACTCCCTTACTCTCTGCACTTTGGTGAGAACTCTCTTCATCTACAGGCATGGAGAAACTGTTAACATGGGCTATCAGGTTGTACCATTTTATCAGAGCCACACAGTCAACCGTTTGTGCAACTGCATTCAGAGACAAGCTTGGAGTTAACACAGCCTCATTTCGGGTCTACCTTAAATCTACCTTGTTTTTGTCACAGGCAGGACAATGGAGGCCACTGCCTCCAAACCACAGTGCTCCACCCTGCGCTGTGTGAAGCCAGCTGATCTCTGGAAGGTTGGAACAGCAGCCAATCACATCTCTGAAGCTCTGAAGCTTCTGGACAAGGTGTAGAAAAATGTGGCATTCTAGCACACAAGGATTCCTCAAACACTTGCCTCAATGGGCTCTAGAAACTAACCCTGTTACTGTAGGGACTCACTCACTGACCAAAAGTATTTGCAGTTCAGTGAATCAGCCAATCAGCTTGCTCATTCCCACAAAAAAAATACATGACAAGAACCAATAAATCTAGATACCAGATTACAAGCCAAAGAATGAATGTGCATGTGCACACACACACACACACACACAGAGTGTATATTAAGTAAAGTCGTGGTAATGTTAAATATTTACCTCTCCATGATCAAATTGTTGTTTTCTGAAATGAAAGAAAAAATGACTCACTACTGATATACTTCAATTACGTTTTCTTTTATCTACAAATACGAGCCTTTACAAATTATTTAGTATTCCTCTCAAGACACAGATATGTAAATCAAAACTAAAAATACAGTTTTCTTTAATTATAAGTACATTCTCTTTGTCAACTTCCAGGTACAGTTGGTTACCTATGTTTTAATATTGCTTCTTAGGGAAGTTGAGTAAAAGATGAGGGATAGATACAGTTTTATATTTTTCTGTTTCTTTCTCAAATGGCTTCCAAACAGAATAAATGATTTTCTCTGTTGAACTGGCAAAGCTGTGTCCCTCCAGGAAAGAGGGTAAAGAGGGGCATGGTCAGACTTCTCTGCATGAGATCTGAAGAATGAAGGCAGAGCCCAGGAGCCTCCATAGGGAGGGGATGGTGCCAGTTGAGAACATCTCTTCTCAAGTGCTGAGTGCGAAATATGCAAGTATAGAAGTGCACAGTGGAGCAAGTATTCAGTGCGTGGAAGTAAGAACAGTAAGAGCACACTTACCTTGTATGAGTCTGTTGTTGAGCTATGACACCCCGTAAATCATTAATAATCTACAAATGGATTTTTAAAGATTTTAGAAAAGCTGTTATAAAAAATAAATGTTAAGATTCTTAAAATAAATATAAGAAATATGAAGATAGGAGACTACTCAGAAAATAATAATTTCAACATTATCTTGTACTAGCACAGTCCTTGATTTTGTTTAATAGTCACCAACCCTATTAGGAAAATTCCAATACCCCATTTAGGATATGACTAACAGGCTCAGACAATGAAATGGTCTCCCTGGGGGTGGAGGGGCAAACATTAAGAAGCTCAGCTGGCCCTGACATTCATTCCTGCTCCTCCCCCACATGAGGCGATAGCAATGCCTCCGTTAATCAGGCACACAAAACTACAGATCTGGCTCAGACACCAACCTGTTAAAATCCTCTCTCCAGAATGAACATCCCTACAGCATCTTGCACACACCTTAGTTTATAGCCTGGAATAACTACAGAGCTGCTGCTTCACTCAACCTTTAACATCTTTCTGATTGATCTATGCATTTCTGGCCCAAAGTCCTATCTCCAGAATTTACCACTGATTATCAGATTTCTTAGGCACCAAAATATAGTCATATTTTCCAAATGGTAGGCTTTTAAATATTTGAAAATAATTAACCACCTTCTATTTGAATCTCTTGTTCTTTAAACGGTGGAGCTTCATCCATCTGACCTACGATAGATATTCCATCACATCTTGCCATCAAAGCTGCAGTCTCTTGTTTCATTTTATTGAGCACAGTCTCACCTCACTGTGCAGCTCTAGCTGGCCTAGAACTTGTATGTAGACCAGGAGAGCCTGAACTCCACAGACATCCACCTGCATCTGCCTCTCAGATATGAAGACTAAAGGCATGTGCCATCATACCTGACCACTGTAGTCTTTGAATAGGTTCTTGATGGTCAGTATCTGGCAATTTGGGGGGATTATTAAATATGAATCAAAGTGTAAAAATGCAAAGTGAGTTCAGAGCCTGCCACACAGTAAAACCAAGTAAACTGACAGACAGAAGCTGAAGCAGGTTGAGAGAGCAGAGATGACTACCACCAAATGCCTGGTATAGGAGGGGGGAGCTAAGCCTGAGTCTAGTGTGACAGCGGGCACAAAGGGAGTTACTAACAATGTCTGATTTTGCAAGGTACTATCTCATAAGTCACTGGTTGAGTAACACACCAAAATATGCCATGGGGAGATACTCTGGAGTACAAAGTCCAATACAAATCCAAAGTGAACAATAATTACAATACAGAATATCCCATAGATTCACTGTGCTAACACAAATCATTAGAGATCAATACATTGCTGGGATTGGCCTATCTTCTTTCATTGAACATTAATCTCATCTTTTAAGTCTTACACAGTTACAGCCATCACAAGTTACCTAAAAACATAGTTTCACACCTGCTTTTCTTCATAGAAAATTGATGTTTCTCAGGCCTAGTTTACACCAGGGCTTAGAATTTCATTATCAAAATAAACATGGAGCCTAAACAAATTATCCAGTTCATAAATACACTGAAGTTTCCCAATTCTTTTTGATTAATAATAAACCCCATTCAGCTATAACTGAAAACTGCTTGTTATCATATAAAAGAGCCAAAATATTAAATATTTTTTGGAAATATTACTTAGTATTAAAATCCAGTCAATGGACATGGGTAAATAAACTTGTATCTGGGTCAATTGTGGCCTCTAGAAATGTCTCCCAAAATGCATGATCAGAGCCTAAAGCCATCCTTTCTTGCATCTATTTTAGGCTAGCAGAAAGCAAAATATCTGTAAGATTTCTAAGTATTCACATCAAAGGCTATCAGTAAGAAAATACAGAATGTTTTGATTAACCAGGACAAACTATCGGATTATCGTGCAGTCAAATAATTGTAACTATACAAAAACACAAATGTATGTAATTGTAACAGGCTTCTCAGTGGCAAGCGCACCTTTCTAACAATGGCAGCGACGATGACGAGAACAACTGGAAGCAGCAGTGTCTTCGTGTATCTCAGTGGAGTCTAAAATTGAGCGGTATTTGTTAGAGGGAAATGTTTTAGCCAAACAAAACTTCTTTTCAAAAGGAGAAACAGGTGAATTTCTAAAGGCATAAGTAAACAATATTCATACAAACATTCACCAACCAAGAGTCCAACATGTGCACTGATTCCCATCATTGAAATTAAAGGACGTTTCCATAGAAACACATTTCACCAGTGCTAGGTTAAAAACCCTAAAAATACAGTTTCCAAAACTCCTGTGAAAGGCAACTCGATTCTTCTCTTTGCACACTATTTGCCTATCTGAAGATCACTCTTATTGTTCATCCTAAGAAAGCAATGTTTATTTACATAGAGCAAGCTACCTTGTATATTTTATGCATATTCTTACCTACTGCATTTCTTTTTCTTATACACAAATACATGCTGAATAATGGCCAATGCTTATGAAGGTAACAAAACTAATTTTTATACTTTCACAACAGAAAAGTTTATAGAAATGTATTTAGTAGCACAGTCCTGTGTACCTCTCAGTTATCAACCACTCCAGCCTCTGCTGAGATGTCACTCTTACACTTCTGTGCGCTAATTACAGGGAAGCTCTCCTGTATCCACTCCATTCTATATATTGAACACCTTTCCAGGTCAGTTGGGAATTGTGCTGGGCAATAGCATTTCATGTTTGTTTTGTTCCTACAATATACATATGATATCATAAAGGGCATGCACTCCCTCAAGAGACAGATCCTCAGCCGCCTCAGCACCACAGACCTGAGCTCAGATGCACAAACATGGCATACTGCAAACAGCCCCATGTGGAATGAAGTCATGCCATGCCTCAATACACGATTTCTTTCACTTGACCTGTAATGGCCACTGCCAGGTTAGAACAGCATGCATGACATTCTTGGGTGTCTCCAGCCTCTACATCTGTTCTCTGCTTCTCTTTACCTTCTATTTTCTTTACCACTTTCTTAAAGAAACCTTGATTTCTATAAATTGGTATTTTAAGATCTTACAAGAGATACTCTTTGATTTTTCTTACTACCATTTGTATAGCTTTTATCAGATATCATATATCAATACCATAAACAGGATAAATGAAGACCAACAATTAGAGTCATCAAGGCACACTTGACTAAGAACGTAAGAGTCTATGCTGAAGGCTGCTAGCACTGGCACTCAGGACACAGAATTACCACAGTGGGATTGCAGAGGCAATGAATGTGTCGATAAAGTAGTGGCCAGTTTAAGACATTCCAACACATGTAGCCTTAAAGGAAAATGTATTCAGCATAAACCGCAATAAAGGAATGCAAGATGGATGGTGCTTCCAAGGCCATAAAAACATGCTTGATGAAACAACCAGCTCATCAATGATTGAAGGTAATATTTCACATATGAGATTGAAGTACTTCACTATGTGAAATCTCATTTTGTCTTCACAATACCTGTTTGTAGTATATTACTAAGAACTTGTAGACTATAACACAAAGAATAAGATATGTTTGTTCAAGAACATTAATCTATATTGCAGAATTCTGTCCCACAATACTCTACCTACTGTCTAGTTTTCCTGTAAACACCAAATACCTGAATCAAGTTTTCCAAAGAGAAATGTTAGTATGGGAACTTGTGTTCAATGATATTTAAATACAAGGAGATCATTCGCATCTCCACACTTAAGTGGAAATGAAGAGCCTGAGAGCCTGACTACAGTAAGTAGTGCAGTGTGAAAAGAGGCAATCGGAATTGCCTGTGTTCACTCATCTGAGCATTGTGTTGGAATCATGTTTCAAAATTGCCAACATGGAAAAGGTCAGAAATAAATACACAAAAGGGGAGAGTTTTCATTAAGCTGTTAGGCATTCTTCTTCTGAGATAGCTGAGCATTGAAACCCTGAAACAGCAGTCCCCTTTAGGAAAAATGAAAGGGCCAAAGACAAGGGAAGAAAGCTCGACATTACATCTTACCTCTTTCTCCATGAAGTCAAACTCTGCTGCACAAGTATATAGCAAAGTATCAAAATCCTTGTAACTGAAGAATTTTGATGTTAATAAGTTGCCAATATGAGCCTAGAAAGAAATAAAGTCAAGAATCATTAGACTAAGCTAAATATTATAATTTTGCATTTTAATTTTAACAATTTCTAGAATAGTTTTTGCCACATGAAAAAGTCCATTGTTCTAATTCTGGACTTTTGTTAAGGAAGTTCTGTCCCTCCAACCTCACAGCTGTGTCCCCTGTTCTGCCAGCATATGGCAGCTCCCAAAGGTTCTTACCCATGTCCATTACACCCACTCAGCAATGCCCAAGGCATTTACCCTGGAGGTTTCTGCTCACATCTGATTTTTCTACGTCTGATAAGCAGGCTTCCAAGCCCCCACCTTGCTCTCTACCAGGAGGCTAAGAGTTCTAGCAGGAAATCATACAGATTTCTGTCCACAACACAGAAAACTGGGTCTGCAGCACAGAGGGAAGTCTGAGTCTGAATTCTGGGAAGGGCCTTAGAAGACTCTTTGAATGTAGCAGACATGAGAGGAAGTGGTATAAAAGGCACCTTCTGATTGACAATCAACATGGGCATGTGTGCAGTCAGGTTCACCTCCTCCCAAAGATAAGAGGCAAGCAGCCACTTTCATTTTATAAACGAGAAAAGGAAGGCTCACAGACAAGCTAATTATTATCTAAAACAGCAAAGATTAGAAAAAGAGAGGCAATTATACCTAAGGCCACCACACAACAGGTGCTCTCGAGAGTAAAGCATAGAGGATGATGGGAATGTGATGACACACAAGCTGAGAGAGAGAGAGAGAGAAAGGGAGAGGGAGGGAGGGAGGGAGAGAGAGAGAGAGAGAGAGAGAGAGAGAGAGAGAGAGAGAGAGAGAGAGAGAGAAAGAGAGAGAGAGAGAGAGAGACTGTAGACCCATGAAGGCAGACGGGAGGTTATGTGATCCTGAAACAGTGCACGGAAACAAATCCCAGGGAGATTGAAGGAAACATCCTAGCAAAGGACCAGTGCCACATACACAAGAGCTTAAATCATCTGACTATAGGACAGATGCTCAGACTGGCTTAAGGGAACAAATACAACACTAAGCTGTCCTCAAAAGATTAACTTCACATGAAAGCATAAAGGAAAATAAACAATGTAAGTCTGAAACACAAAACCTAGGGTAGCAACTGCACCATCTCATAAAATAAAGTTCAAGGGCCAGTAAGACTCAGGTAAGGGCACTTGTTGTGCAAATCAATGAAGCCTGTGTTCTCAGAAGCCAGAAAGAGAGAACTTCAATCCCCCTGTCCTCCCCTGCCACACACACACACTCGCTTGCACACACACTACAAAATTCAAGATAAAAGCTACACGGAGAGTCACAAAAACGTGTGAAGAGCAAAGTAAAATGGCACGTGACTGTGTGCAGACTAGCATGGACTCAGACCCATGGCTAGGAAATGACAACTGCGGGAAAGAGAGGCAAGGCGACAGCATTCACTAGAAATGATAAGCAATACTCCAGGAGCAAAGGCTGATAAAACATAGCATTATTCAGCACAATGTAATTATTAAGTCCATAAATAAAAACTATCAACTTTATTGGAAAAGCACGCACACTTTCCTTAAGCAAACAAAAAAAATCTAAGTCTATGTGTATACACACACACACACCACACACACACACACACACACACATACCACATATATATATATAAGAGTATCTTAAAATTTCATATAATTTTTTTCTAATCATAAATGCAGTATAACTAGAAAATAACTAGGAATAGCTTTAGGAACCCTTTTGATGGAAAATAAATAAACCAAAATTTAATAACCTTTAGATTATGCAGAAAGTCACAAAACACCAATTTAGAAAGGACATAAAAAGCACTACTTATAGCAATAATTCAGACAACATCCTAGAAAAAAAGAATGGTCAAAGCAAAAGGGCCAAGCATTTTCCTACATGTTAAATATTGCAAACGGATGCTACAAAAGTTAATCTCAACAGAAGAGTGCGGTTAAAGTAGCTTGGAGGGGAGGAAGTTAGGGAAGAGGTGGTCAGAACGTACATAGCTATAGTTGGTAGGAAAAGTTCAGCAGACCTATTGCACAGCAGCTGACTGTCATGAGTGACCCCTTTTCCTTTTTAAAACACAGAGATGGATGGAAAGAGTGCTTGTCAATAAGCAACAACAAAGTTATCCAAGGAAAGGCTGCTTTTTATCATTCCACAATGTACCTAAGCTTCCACACATGATACTGTACATACTAAACACATACAATGTTACCTGTCAAGTTGGAGAAGTTGGAAACATAATTCTTTTAATAATAAAGGAGCATTTCCCATATATGTAAAACTTGCACACGCCACTTCAGCTAGCTGGGTTCAACAATACCTCTTCTAATTCACAGTCCCTTGATGGTACACACAGAAGGGACAAAGGTCCTGAAGGCATGTACCACAGCTCCAGTCAGATGACCACATTCCTAAGGAAGTCGAGTTCGCACTGAAAAACCTCCACAGAGAGAAGATCCTGAGCGCTGGAGGCTTCACTACTCTTCTCTGGCTACAATGAAGGGGAAATACCAGCTCTACCCAAATGTTCTCTGAAAATAAGACACTGAACCTGTCTTCAAAAATAGAGGAAGCTGCCACTATCCTGAAACCTAAATCAGACAAAATCATTAAAGATAAAACAAAACAAAACTTATACCTTTCATGATTAAAGGCAAAAACACTTAAACTACTAGCCAGTCAAACTCAACACTAAGAAGAAAAAATAACACAACAAACAAGTGAGGTTTGCTTGGGAAGTACAACCCTGGGTCAATTAGGAAGCCAGTGAATGTGGGGATTTCTGGATATGAAAGAGTCAGAAATTTCCTCCTCCAAGGCAACTATAAAACTAGACAAAAGTGTCACAAACAACCATGTCACAGTCTTCTAACCTAAGAGCTACCAAGTTGTATTTGCTGATTAAAAAATAACTTTCCTTGAAGAAATGGGAGTCTGTGGCACTCGTGCCTGGGCTGTTCCATCCATCATCAACACTACCATGGATTCTCTAGTTTGCTGGGTCAATGACATGGTCTCTTTGAGGACAATGGGACCAGTTTCAAAACGTAATTTGAAACATATTAGAAATACCATGATCGGCATCAGCAAGAAATTAAACATGGAAGCTATCCTGCCAGGCACCTAAAGTGAAACCCCAGTGACCCAAACAGAAGGTAGGCAAAGCAGGTGTAATTGCTAGAACCTAGAGAAGAGACAACTCTCTAAGGGATGGGGACATTCCCACACCCCCTGGAGGATATATACAGGAGAGTTCCAAGAGAGGCATGCTTTCTACAAAACCACAGTTGACGGAGATGAAGATAGTGTGGCCAGGGAACAGGCAAAGGGGCACAGAAGACAAAAAAAAGGCTGAAAACTTTATCAATATTTATTGAATAATGTTGATTGGTTTCTTAGGAAAAATAAAGGCCAGAAGTTTCTCAAAAGCTACAACCAACAGACAATTCTATAACTGGCAAAATGAGAAAAAATAACCACTACAACCAAAGCCTAACACTGGAGCAAAACCAAAATCAAAACCAACAGACCCATTGCTAAGAGACCTGGCTAGGAAAAGTTAGAAAATGGAGTCCTATTGGTTAAAAAGAAACAAGCCTACTCAAACACAGGAAGAAAGGCAATAAAAATGATGAAAAATGTTGATAAATACAAAAGGCAATGACCCCCTTTGTTCTTTTCTTTGTTTAAGATAAGAGTAGATATGGAAACAATACTAACTCAGGCACTAATGGCACTGTTGGCACTAATACACAAGGTCAACAGATGACATAACAGTGCAAAAGACAGGAAGGAGAGATACTCTAAAGTGAGGGCATTAGAGATTTAACCTGAATTAATCCAGCATTAATATAAGTAGATTGTTTAAAATTAAAATATGCACTGCAATCTCTAGAACTACCATTGAGAATTAACTAATGAAGAGTTACTCACAGCTCAATGCACTGCAGCCCTATCCACCAACCTAAACCAACCTAGTAACCTAAGGACACATCAGTGGATCCATGGAGAAAAGAATGGTGTGTGTGTGTGTGTGTGTGCACGTGTGTGTGCAATAACGATAAATCACAACAATAATAATCATGGAAACATCAGCTAAAACTTATTTAGCACTAACTGCATGCTATCCTGAGAAAGTTCCTTTAATTTAGATAAATTGTGTAAGATCTCACAGGTTGGATGCAGCCACTCAAATCTAAAGAATCATGAAACTGCTGAAAAGAATGTACTGGGAAATATAAGTGTGTGTTTGTTTGGTTGGTTGGTTGGTTGGTTGACTGCTGTTGTTGTTGATGATGAAGCTGTTTTTGAAAGCTATAGAATTCATTACTTGCGAAATGAGACCTACTTAAAACCTGCCAAGTAGAAATACTTGACTCACAAACCTAGGATGTGAGCACATCCTAGAGGACTGATAGATGCAGGTGTAGGCACAGGCCTACACATTTCCAAAAGGAAAATGCATGGAAGAGGAAAGACACAGCCATTTCCAAGGCCGGGTGCTTGGCACGTGCTTCCTTAGCAACAGAACATAAGGATGCTGCAGTCCTTGCTGTAGCTCACTGTTACAGTTCTGGAGACATTCACCAAGTTAGGTCACCTCTTGTGTGGAAATCTAACTGACTATATACAAAGACATTATGCTACAACAGAAATGTCAACAGTGTCTTCAGTCTGACTCTGTCTTAGTTTGTCCCCCAACAAAAAGGAAATAAAGTCCACACATTTAGGGCTGGATCCATTTTACTGCCTTCCTTCTCACCCTCTGCATCCAAGCTGACTCCATCACTCCTCTCCTCTCATCTGCACAGATACCTCCTGATCCTCCTCCTGTTTGCTCCTGAAGCATCTCAAACTTACTACTCTTTTGTCATAGCCTTTGTTGCCTTTTGTATTATTATAATTGCTGGGAGGCCCCTAATTGAGAATGTCCTGATCACAACATCAAAAGTCGAGTAAGCAAAGTCAGGCTAGGGAATGGCTCAAGGACAGAGGTACATTGGCACTCACTGCCAGAGCATAAAGACTAGCATGCTTATAAGCCTAGCATTTTCAAGGGTGAGACAAGAGGATAACTGAGGCTTGCTGTCACCAGGGTAGCTACAGGTTCAGTGGGAGACATTGTCTCAAGACAGTAAGGTAGAGAGTGATAGAACAGAATACCTTACGTCCAACTCTGCTCACTCACAGGCAACCACACAAGCACCATGAACATACCATACACACACAAATAAATAAAGCAACTATTTATAAAAATCCTTAATAAAACAGAAATTGTAGTCCTTTAGCAGTGCACCACAAGCCCACAAAACCCATCAAATTGCAGTAGGCCCCTCCTTTCCGCCCCAGCCTATGGCTACTGCAATAAAATGTCCCATAGGAGTTGTCTAAAATGGCAGCACCACATCTCCTCAGCCTACAGCCCTCACAGGAGTTTAGGAGCTGTCCACGAGGGTGCCTTGCCTCAGGGAGAGCTGTCCCTCAGGAGCTGTCCACACTGGGGACACCTTTCCAGCCTCAGCCTACTGCCAGCATGAGGAGCTGTACGAGGTGGTGACACCTTTTTCGTGCCTCAACCTACAGCTTGGTGAAACACCACTGCAGGAGATGTCCCACAGGAACTGTCCACAACCTCCCCACCTCCCCACAGCAGTCTCAGAGAGATAGTGCCTCAGCAAAAGCTACAGTGGGGAAGGATTTCCATGGGCCCAATGCAGGAAAAGGGGGTGTGAAGAAAACCACCAATATCTGAGCAGAAAGACCCACCAATCCCTGAGCTCCCTCAAGCTCAGGACTTGAAATTCCATCAATCCTCCTTCTGGAAATCTCTCCCCTGAGAAGCTCTGCACCCTCAGAAATTCTATGTAAGCACTGTCCCTTTGTCCAGTTCTCTGCTATCCACTCCCGGGAGCACAGGACAGCCATCCCTGGATTCATCCCTCCAAATCCTCGATTTATTCTCCAATAAATCTCTTTCATGACATTTCCTGCCTGGTATGACTCTCTGATCAGAAGAAGCCAAGAAGAAAAGAAGCGGCTAAGAGAAGGATCCAGGGTGAGGTTCCTGAGCTCCTCAGCTCAGCTGGGGCCCCCCCTCCCCTGGGAGTTGCACTGCCTCTGCTGAGGAGGCTTCCTCTCAGAGCTGTGTGGTTCCTGGGCTTCTGAGTCCCAAGACACCCTTCCATCCCAGCAGAAGCACCTACAGAAATGTTATCATTTCATTCTCTGCCCTAGCCAAACAAAACAAAATCTCTTAAGTCTAACACAGCTCTCACTATGAATAATGGTATACAAACAACCATCCCACACATGCACTGACCACAGAGAAGATGGGAAGAGAAAATCTCTGTCCATGATTTTGAAGATACTGTCCCATTGGTTTTATAAGGAAACTGTAAAGAAGTCAGAAAATAGTTGCACAGACCTCAAATGTTAGGCCTTAGTCTCCAGAGTTCTTTGTGACATAGAAATATACAAAAAGGAGGACTGTCTTAATTCTGGAAATTAAAAACTATATACATAAGCACATTTTTTTGAAGAGAGAAAATAATATATACTTCACACCTTGAAATCTAGCTTAAGTAATGATACTCTAATAGTTCCATTAATTTATTCTCTGCCTATTAGATTCTTTTCAAGTCTTTCAATTTTAAGCAAAAATACACTTACATCATCCGCAATGCCAAAGATCCTGGAGGTCAGACACTTGAGTATAACAGTTCCAAATAACCAACAACACCCTTGGATAACCTACAAAAGAAAAATTTAAAGAAACTAACTTTGCTTCCACCTCCTATAGCCTGGTGAACTGAAAAGAACAAATGCTTTATTCACATGTAAACAATATCTTAATCTCCAAGGGAAAGTGTCTAGTGCTCTGAAACCAAGGGTCACTATAACAAAAAGTAAGACTGAAAACATATGACATTTCCAACAAAATGTATTTATTTTATCAGAGAGATAAGCAAGAACTGCTTAACTCCTGTGGTGGGGTTGGTCACACATGGTTGCTCCTCAAAAGAAGTGTGGGGTGATAAATTTAGTAGTGAGTGGACCACTAAACCCAGAAGGCTCTTCACATATTGAGTCCCTGCACTGTGTGTATAATTCCTTTAAAAGTAAAGCATAAAACCTATGAATGTTATATTTTGGAGAAGAAAAAATCTGCCTCAGTTTCTGCTTACCCATAAGCCGAGTTCAGATACGTTCATCCTCAGGAACTGTGCTTTCATTGCCAGCATGCCCTAAATAGGAACACAGATGAACATCAGAAGGTCAAGGAACAATATAACATTCCAAATAGTTAAGACTTTGAGGAATATAAAATTCAGCACGTCTGATTTCTTTATTAGTTATTTGAAATTTTGACATATGTATAGGCTATATCCTAATTACTCTCTCATCCCAGATCCTCAGTCCCTGTCCCTTCTCTTTACAAATCTCTTTCCCATAGCCAAGCCTTTTGCTTTGTTTTGTGGAGTTTTCACAATTAGTACCTCCTGTCCATATATGTGGTTAGTTAGTGATTTCAAAGCATCCCTTTAAAAAATAAATGCAAAAAACCCTACTTTCAATGAGTTTGTAAAACTGAAATAAAATCAGCATATATGAAAGATGTAGCTCTCTATTTTATATATGGTTTGCTTATGAAGAGGTAGGTATGTAACAATTCCAAATTTTAAATACTTCATATAAATGTAAGGTTCCTTTTAAGTTAAAAGTTCCTAACTTACCTGATGAACTATACATGACATTTTAGTATCTTGACAAAATATTTCTGTGTTAAGTCTTTCCAGGTACATGAATCCTACATTATATGACCTCCAGAGAGAAAAATAGACTTCAAACTTGGCCAACATATATTTAAAAATCTGCCAATCTTAATCCTGGGTGCAATGATGGTGCCATTGAAAAGGGCATCAGCACATGGCCATGTCCGTGGCTAGACTGAGCTTCTGCTGGAGAGGACAGGCATCGCCTCAGGCACGGAAAAGCACATTTCTTGGAAATGGTATTTTAAAGTAGCAACTTGTGAGACATGAGCTTAAGACTTCAAATTTATTAATGGGTTCTAGAAATCAAGTGAATGAAAGGATGCTCCTCAAAAGACAGGAAGCGCTCAGATGGGGGGAACGTGATGTGGGCATGTATGTGCCTCCCGCACCAGCCCAGCTAAGGAAAAAGAGCCATCGGTTTGTTAAACACTGTAACACTAAAGCCTGTGAATCAAAGTCAGTTTCTAAAGTGCACGAGAGTGTAAATTTAATAAGACTTTTATACTTAAACTGATATTGAAAAGATGAAAAGAAAAATTAAAAAGCACAGAAACCTCCGACAATGAGCCCATGAACAAAGCAGGCGCGAGGGAAGCTGAGGGAACAAGAGAGATGCGAGGGACTGAGCCACGGTGAGGTGGTCTCTGAGCTTTCCCATAGCAACTTCACTGATTCTTATTTTCTCTGCTTTCCAAGTGAGAACATCATCACTCTGTCAGGTAGAGATAAAGTAGGTAGATACTTCATATGACCCTGCTACTCATGAATCCCAAGGTTGTGATAAAGAAATTGAAACTATTTGTTTCTAAAGCAGCCAAAGATAGACCTACTGAAAACAGCGAGTTATCAAGAAAAAAAAATTGGAGATGAAGCTGGGACAGAGTCCTGAGGGTATATGGGGACTATCCATGATCATTCTTCATTGTGTACATGTATAAAATATTATTCTTTTTAAAAAGCAGCCAAAGGAATACTTACCCAAATAATTACCAAAGAGGATGCATAGTAAGATGTTAGTAACATCGAGTTCCCAAACATCAACACAAAACAAAGTACAAGAGAAATCTGTAAAAACCCAAAAGAAATGCAATTAGTGTGCATAGGCCCAAAGGAGGAACGGGTCTTTCAGTTTCAAGTTGTTTACTCCCATGATGGAAGGAATTTGAAGCACTCATAAAGGGCTACTGGGCAAACTCAGCTCACTCTACAACCCACACTCCAAGTGCACCATCATCAGCCATTTCCTGTGCACCTCCCAGACACCAACATAAAGAAATTGGTTTATTCTTCCCTCCCAAGTCCCAAGTGGCCACCCACCCATAGTATCCTCTCTTGCTTTGACTATTAACATGCTGAGAGAAGCTTCCTCTATCAATCCAAATCAATCTAATTCGCTGTTTCAGACCTGAAAATCATATGGCACTCTATACATGAGCTGCAGCTTATTTAAACAGCCCTAGGTACTGCCCAACACCTAACTGCCTTCTGCATCTACTCTGTTTTCCTTAACCCCGGCAGAAATGGCAAGGACCTGTCAGATGCATCTTATGCACCTGTTAAAACATTCCTATAGATAGATAACCACCTCAAGAAAACCTGATGAACCAAGATGCAGCCATTTCAGCAACAAAATACAAAGTACTGACAAACTGTTATACAAACAGATTGTACTTGTTTACTCTCCCCCAGACTGAATGAGCGTTGCTGTTGACACACACTCTGACGCACACTGTACATTACTTCTTTAGAGTGTTCCTTTACACCAGGGGAAATGCTGTGTATGTGAGACAGAGCCTTCCAGGGATATGTGGTGTGAGTGTGAACTGCTTATTTCTACTGTGTTCTTTCTATTAGATTAGTGGTTTTCCTTCATGTCCTTCTTATGTGTCATAGGACAAAGCTGCTTATGAAACAAACATACTACAAATATGTCCCAAGTTCATTTTTCATCTTTGTCCTATTTCTGTATTATGGTTACTGCTTAAATTTTTATGTTAGTCATATTTATTTATCTCCTTTAGGTCTTCAAGACTTATCTTTATAATTTAAAAAGTCCTTAAAAATGAAAAGCCCATCCTTTATTCAGAAAGTTCTGTTTTTCTTTGATATATGTCCATTTGTATGTGGATTTCATTTCAAAAATATATTTAAAAACAATGTAATACACTACAACTTGAGGATAAAAAAGAGCACAATCATTTCAATTGATACAGAAAAGCACTTGGCAAAATTCAACATCATCCAATTACAATACACTGAACAAACTAGGGACAGGAGGCATCTCCCTTTACAAAATAGATGTCATACATGCAGAAGCCACAGCACACTCAGTGAGAAACTAAATCTCTCCCTCAAGGAACAGTGACCAGGGACATTATAAAAGTGTCACTTAGAGAGACAGGAAAGAAAACATCAAAAGCAAACTGGAGATGGAAGGGTAACATCTCTGCCCACAGATACAGTTTCGAATGAAGAAAACTCTAAAGGAGGGATAGCAACTGTTAAAAAGGGAGGATGGTACCAGGATACAAAACTAACACACCAAACCCAAGCAAGTACGCATATACCAACAAGAAACAATCTGAATGAAGAAGTCTAGAAAATAAATCCTTTTGCCAGTAGCATCAGAAAGAATAAAAATATTCAGTGGTCAGCTTAGTTGTGAAGGTGCAACGCATTCATACAAAAACAAAACATAAACGGAAACCAAACCAAAGCAAAACACAAAATGCCACTGAAAGCAGCTAAAGCAGGAATACTACCGACAGCTCATATTCACCATCTGAAGACATCAACACCCAGATGGCTACAGATTTGCTGCAATAGCTACGGAAACCCAGCATCTTTCATAGAAATAAAAATCCATGCAGAATCTACTGGGAAATGGGGTAGACCAACCAACAGTGAAAGGGAATGAGGTAAGACTCAGACTTGGGTTTCCAACTTGATATAAGCCAGAGTACTGAGAACACTGTGTGGCAGGCATCAAGTCAGAGTAGATCAACGACATCAAACCTGCTCGGGTACAAGCCCTGCAGTAATTGGACCAATGTTTTTTGTTTTTTTTACAAGAATTCCAACATCCATCAGTGAAGACCACCCCCTCAAGAAACAGTTCTTAGGAAAGTAGATACTCCCATAAACATGGACCATTATCTACTGCCATTCACAAAATTAACTCAGAGCACAATGGACACCTAACAGAAAAGCTGGGACAGTAAGCCTCCTGTGGTTAGATTTCGCAGTATTTTCTTAGGTAGGACACAATGAGCACAGAGAACAATAAAAAAATGATTGGACTGGAATCTAAAAATTAATGGTCATCAAGGGATAAGGACGGCAGAACCAAACATCAACTTACAGATACAGTCATAATCATAATATACGTGTAACTCCTAAAACTCAATACAAAAATTATTAGTTCATTCAAAACTGAATAACATGAAATGACATCTCTTCAAAGATAACAGAAATTACTAAGAACCACATGACAAAAATGCTTTCCATAATCAAAAAAAATGAAAATTAAGAGACCCTCTAAGGAGAGAAGCACATGAGAACTGGGAAGTTGTCACCGGGTCTTAGTAACAAGGAAACACTACCAACTGACACGTGTAGCAGTAGAGAAGTGAGGTGACAGGGAGAACTGCCTCAGAACAGGAGACAAATGCGTGCAACTCAAAGCACACAGCCCCATGGAAACAACCTAGACAGAGAGCAGGGACCTGCACTGTAATGGAGTAATGGCTACTGAAGTGAGCCCTGAGAAGGTGGAAGCTTACATTTTTCTTTCTACTCTGAGAGCAAAGACCACTGTGAAAAATTCTTCTATGTTTCCAGCAGAAGGAAAAAGTAGGACTGCTTTGAAATACACCAGAGTATCCTGCTCCTAGGAAAAAACCATGCCAGCCTTCACCGTGATCGTCTAGGATACGGGAGCTATGGAAACTCTTAACTCACTTCAGTGCACAAGGTTACTGTCATTCTAATTCAGACAACGACACACAAGAAAACTATTGCTGGTATCTCCCATAAACACAGATGCAAAAAACCCCAATTCAATGAACTATGAGCAAATCAAAGTGGACAACGAATGAAAAAGATGTATACACTATAAGCAAGTGGATGGACCTCAGGTATGTGGCATTAACACTCACCACCTTAAGAAAAAAACAGGAAAGAAAAGCTATCTGACCAGGTCCAACATGGAGTCATGGTTTAGCAAACTGAGAAGAAAAAAAAGAAATTCCCTCCACTTGACAAAGAAGATTTACAAAAGTCCATGCTACTCCACATCAGAGTTAAGATAATGAAGCTTTCTTGCCAAGATCAAGAGCTGGGCCCTAAGTTTCCTCTTGCTGCTTCTTCTCAAAAAGCTCAGAGCCTACAGTGAGGAAGGATGTGAAGACTAAAAGGAAAACCTTAACTATGTTTACAGATGACACAGCAATTTGTGAAGAATATCTCAAATAGCCAACAAAGCCAGAATTCATAAGGAGCTGAATCGAGGTGCAATGTGGGTTACTGTCCAAAGGTAACTGCCTTCCATCATAGCAGCAACAGAGTCTGTAACACACTGACATATAAGCCAGCACCTGATAAGAACAACTATGTATAAATCCAACAAAACATATACAAGATCTCTAGACACAAGTTTACATGCACACACAAATATGTAAAATAAATTAAAAAGTACATATTGGAGCTGGAGCGATGGCTTTGTGGTCAAGTATACTTGCTACTTTTGCTGAGGATCCAGCCTTGGTTCCCAGGACCCCATGGCAATCACAACCTTCTGCACCTCTGGTTCTAAGGAATCCAATGCCCTCCTCTGACCTCTATAGGCATCAGGCACACATATAAAGCAGTGACATACACACAGACAAAACATACACAGATCTATAAAGAGAAAACTATGTAACACTGGTTAATTCAAATATGTCAATAACTACATCTTTAAAAATAACTTAAAACTCCAACTCTGAGAAAGTCAATGCCAAAATCAGCACAAGCCATAGACTAAGGGAAAGATATATTTGTAAGAGTACATCTGAGCTGGGCTGAAGCCTGGGGATGGAGCAGTTGACTTGCGTCCATGAGGCTTTTGGTTCAATTCCAGTATGCAGCTAAGAAAGAAGAGAAATATGCCATCTTTCTAAACTATTATTATCTAAAATAATACAAAGAATTATTAAAACTCAATAATAAGAAAGTGAACAGCAAAATTAAAAAAAAATGGCAAAGACTTGAACAAACACGATACGGAATCAGAAACTAAATGATCCTTCCTTTTGAATGGCTGACACTGGGCTCAGAGGAGGGTGTAGAAGCAGGAGCCCCTCTTCCTTTCTCTCACACCCCTCTTCCTTTCCTCCCTGTCCCTCTTTCTTCTGGTGGGAATGCAAAATGGTACAAACACACTATTGAAAATAGTTTGGCAATTTTCTAAACATTAAATAAACAGCTTCCTTATGATTCAGCAATAACTTTCTTTGGTATTTATCCAAATGAATTTAAAATTTAAATCTATATAGAAGCCTGCAGACAAATGCTGCAGCAGCTTTACTCATAGCTATAAAAACTTGGAATTAACCAAAATGGCCCTCAATAAGTAAATGGATACACCATGACCTAGGCAAAAGAAAGGGGAAAAAAAGGTCAAAACGTTATTCAGTTATAAAATGTGAGCTATCAAGGCATGAGAAGACTAAACCTAACTGGATTCAGTAAGTGGAATAAATGGATCTATCTGCAAAAGGTTATGAGCTATCTAACTCCAAATGTACGGCATTCTTCAGAGGACAAAACAATACAAAGATGGCAGTTACTAGGCACATGGGGAGGCAGGCCTGGATGGCTTCCAGGACTGTGAACCTGTTCACAGGATGTGCCACCACCCATCAGATCCTATACAATACACAGTGCCAAGAGTGGGCCCTGACACAGCCCAGACAGTGGGCGGTTAACACCTGTCAGTGCAGGTGTATCAGCTATGACAACAGTACCATGCTGGTCCAGGACAACCACAGTTTAAGGGACTCATACAGAAGGGACTTCTGCTCAGCTATGCTGTAAACCTAAATCTGCTCTACAAAATACAATCTCTTAATTAAAACAAAGACAAGGAAAAATTGCAATGAGGAGTCCTATTGCCATTAGATTGTCTACAATAACTCTTTAGAGACAGAGAATAAATGTTACTTATTGTAGAGAATGTGAAATGGTGCCATCACTATATAAAACAGTGTCACAGTTAGTCAAAAAAATAAAAATAGGCTTGTCACTTGATCAATTCCAATCTGAAAACCAGAAAACAAAGACATGTTCATATTCATAGAAGTGTTTTGCTGTAGCTAAAGACCAGAAGCAACCCAAGTATACTCCAAAGTAAAAAATCTGCATTAACCAGTTTAGGGAGAAAAAATAAGCCATATTTTAAGAAATAAAAGTTAAAAAAAATAACTGTTTAAGCTTAGACTTCATAGAGAGAAGTAAAAATATAGCACCAGTTAGAAATTGTGTTTGTTTACTTGTTTTAGTGTGACTTCACCATAAAACAGACTGAAGAGGGACCGACCACCTAGGCAGAAGAAGAAAGGCTTTCATAAGAGACTCACCGTTGTTCATTTCTTCTAAAAAGAGTAAAAGTTCAAAGAGAATGTGTGAGAAAGGCAGTTGCACAGAACAGTGGGCTGGATCTGGTGTAATCCACACAACAACAAACCCAATGAACACAGTGCATTATACCACTCAGAACCAGAACCACCTCTCTCTAACCAAAGAGAAAGTTTACACATATATTTGAGCAAGAGGTCTCAGAAATGAAAACAGGGAGTGATGAAACACACTAAGATACACAGATCCATGGAAAAAAAGAGAAAATGTAAATTATAATTGCATTATACTATTTTATATAACCCAACAAGATATTTAGAGAAAGTGGAGTGTTACGAGCCATTGCGTATTGCTTTTTTAAATACTATCACCATTTGAAAAGTGATGTAACAGTTACAAAGTTGAACATATTAATACTTTGGCATAGAATGGTACTAGATAAAGATGCCCAAGAAATGCCTGTACATTGCCCCAGGAGATCCAAGTAAAACTACACACCATTACTTGTTAATGAAGACACAGAAGTGGTAGCAGAAACTTCAATGTTGAAGAACAATGAAACAGAAATAAATTGTTCATGTCACAGAAAATACACAGGAGTCATTATTTCTGAACTCTGGTAACATGCAAATCCCAGAAACCTTCAGAGAAACCCAGAGAAAATTTCAGTCTTAGAAAAAGGTCATTTACATCAGCCTGAAAAACTTGGTTTCTAGTTCATAAACATGTGGACTACTTCAAAATATCTACATGGCAAAATGGAAAGAAAGCACTTGATGACAGCTCAGTGAGGACAGTGGTTACCTCGAGGAGAGGTGAGAGTGGTCTATGCTTTGCTAGGACAGCAGCCTCATGCTCATTAATACTGTAACTTTATTCATAAGCTTCCTATAAGCAAACAAACCAACATCCTTAGTGTGCACTACAAGAAAAGCTGGTTATGGTCCACTGCAATAACATTTAGATCACCAGAAAAACAAAACACTGATTTTATGTGTAAAAGGAAGAGTGACAGAGAGAAGACAAATGCTTTCAAAGCATAAACATACAACCAGCATAGACCAACAAGTCTTGGAGATTTCATCCAGCTGTCCCAGCAACCTACACTGCTGTTCTCTGTGATGTCATTCGCTTGCCCTTCACCCTCTGTCCTGCTTGTCCTTCCCTGTGCAGAGCACTTCCTCCTCAAGGCCTCCATCTTCTTCCCCGGCTTTGTGCTCCCAATGTGCCCTACTCTCTGTTAGGCTTGCATTCTTTAGTTTTAATAGCTTTCCAACATGCATTACACTCCTGGTTTTCCCACTGGACTAGGTCAGAAGCATGGCTGCTGAGTGCCTTGCAGCTCTGGTCATGTGTGTGTCTCATAAGCCCAGTGGGTGGACAACCCACTTCACTTTAACAGGAGGCTCCATGGGTAGACAGTGTACCACTTCATGTTCCCTGTGCCCAGTTGATACATAAGAAAATAAGATCTAAATTAAAACTGTCTTGGTAGTCTATTTAAAACAAGAGCAACTGTATCAGTGTTTGAACAACAGTGATTCATTAAAGAAATACATTAAAACTAGTTTCAGAAATAAACAAATCAGATCTCAATCAGGAGTCTATTAAGGTCAAACTAAGCAGAAAAAAAAAAAAACAATAGAACTCATTACCATGTGCATATAAATGATCTTCTGTAATTTATATGTATCAATGTATCCCACGACATACACTGCAAATAATGATGCAATCTGAAATCAAAAAGAAATTATGTTAAAAATAAAAAAATGACACACACACACACACGCACACGCACACGCACACGCACACGCACACGCACACGCACAC